TCATACATTTAAAAAATATATAATCGCGGTAAAAAAATTATATATAAAATAAATTAGGCTAAAATAGTCTTTAATAACCGAACGTCAATTGGAAGAGGCTTAAAATTAAAATACTACCTGCATAAAGCAAAGGTGCAGAAGATAAGAGCGAGATAATTTGCATTTTTTCTTTATTTCCACAGGCCGGAACGAGCCGTAAGCAGGCAAATAAAAAAGTCGCCATATCCATTACTTTCCATTTGCATTGTATTTTTAAGCGAACATTAAAAGCAAAATTGCACATCCAGAATAATAAAGGAAACCAGCTAATAACTTTGGGGATCAACAATGGGGTTGCTTTATTGCCTGTAAATACGAAACTTCTGTAAATCCGGGTACAAATTTAAGAGGGACTGGCGTTTATATACTTTTAGGAAAAAATAATCGTTCTAATTGTTTCGCAAAGAGGATCATAAAATTTCAGTTAAGTACAGTTAGTTGCTTTTTCGTTTATATGTTATAAATCCAGACTGAGTATGCAATTTGTCTTCAAACCGCCATTAGCACTAATTAGTAATTACAGTAAAAATAAATTTAAATTAAATAAAATCTACGATGGTATATTTTGCTGCAAAATTATGAAAACATATTTTTTTACTAGACCAAAGCAATCAGCCCCCTTAAAGGAAGCCTAGGTAATTTGAATTTTGTTAAAGCGTTGCACTTTTTCACTCTTAAAACTCATAACGAAAAAACATTTTTGCAATCACTTTTGGAAAAACTAAATTAAGTCATTCACACATGTGCCGCCTAAAACAAAGTAAAGCACTTTAATTTCCTGTAAAAGATCCTTTTAAAGTATCCGAGTTTCGTTTTTAATTATCCCAGAATGAGTGATAAACCTAAGTTTCAGGCAATTATTTCCACCTAGTAAAAAGTTTATTACAGCTGAAATAAAACAACGCCAACGTATAAAAATCTGGCAAAATTTACAATCTCCTGCAAGCTTGTAAGTACTGAAATATTGCCCGGAGATTTCGCGTTCTCGCTAGCTCGAGGACCATTTGCAACAAAAATGGCCACAATAATTTTATTTAATTTCATAAGTAAGGCAGTAAAGTAAAGGTCTTTTAAATTAGGGAGGTTAGTCTTCTTAAATGAGCTTAAATTAAGATGAAGAAACGAGCTCATTTGGGGGGGAAAACGTATTTAATCTTTGCGGTGTTTTCCTTTTAACGTGGAAAAGTTGCAGCAAAATTGTGTGCAATACACATTGATTCATTCAAACTTGATCAGTATGATGATTGTTATGTTTAAGTAGATCTCTATTAAAATAACAACAAAGTTTGGACTTTTTACATTTGAATTTTTTTAAACTAACGTTTTAAAATATTTTGCTGACTTGAAAACACCAGGAAAATCTACTGGAGTACTTTAAAATATTCCGATTTTTTTGAGACTTATGCAGGGTGATCCAACACTATGGAATTAAACTTATACGAATTGTTTAGTGCAGTAATATAATAGAAGACATGTGAGTACTAACCCATGCCCAGAAATGTCAATTTTGTACCACTTATAAATAATAATAATACATAAATACTTATAACAATAATACGTAAACTAAACCATATTAAAAAAATCAGACCATAAATAATTTTGTATTGCTTGAACCATTGACCAGCTTTATTACCATTATTTAGCCTCACCAACTGAACAGTTTAATTAATTTTTGCTGAAAACTAATAATGAGTAAAAGCCAGATTATAATAAGTTATTTGTGTAGTGTACTCGAATTGCATTACGTAAATTAACAGAGGATGACAATATTTGAATAATAGTAGAAATACTATTTAAAATATGGCCGTGAAATCGAAACACAATGGGAGAAACATTTAAATACTTTAAAAAGACGAATGGGTACATGCAGGCAATTAAAGCAATTAAATGGCAGTTATACCTGCAAATTAGGCACGCGTTTATAAGCGCAAACTGTGCATTTAAAGCTCAATAATTGCCCTATTAGATTAATGGAAATAACCGTGTTCACGAAGTCAGGAAGAATACATTAAAACCTAAGCAGGGAAGAGCTGAGCATTTTAAAAATAATTAAATAGTAAAAAATACGAAGGTATAAGTTTCAAAAAATACAAACATTTCAGTAATTTTATCAAAGTTGCTTTTATATTATGGACGAATTTTGAGTGACTTTAGTTTGTAACTGTCGTGAATATTTAAAATTAATTTAATAAATCGCTGAGTATTAAGATTACAGTCAGTAATGGTGGAAAGTAATTGAATTCTATTTTAAGATTAGTTGATGTTTATTAGGTACTTTTTTATATTAACCGTAGGAAAGTTTTATTATGCAGTAATAAATTAATTAATTCGCTCACTTCAGTATCATAAAATCTCATATATGCAAGAATCGATAATTTTACAAACACAAACTCATCTTAAATTCTTATTATCAAAAAAATCAATTACTTTTTCAAGTCATAAATCGCCGTTTTATCTAAATTGTAAGGGCAAAAGTGGCATTCTATTAAAATAATAGTAAAAAATCCACTTGGACTCGAACATGTTTGCGAAACTTAATTTATTAAATACCCAAAAAGAAGTTTGTAAAAAAATTAATTTATTAACACATCATTTTTTAACATGTGTATTTATTCAAGGTTCAAAAATGTTATTGAATCACTCTGTATACCGGTTCAAAAAAAAATCTATATTGCGAAAAAACTGAATGTAAACGAAATTATCTTTTATGTGAAATTAGAACAAGAAAATAAATCTTGACATCCGAAAAAATATGTCTCAGCAATAAAGCTTAGAAGTTAAAATGTTACAATCAAAATTATTAACTAATTTAAAAAATATATCAAGTTTTTAAGCTATTATTAGTGAAAGCAGCAGAATAGTGCATAAGAAGAGAGCAAAATAGGTAACAATAATACACTTGAAACCGGAAATGTAAATATCCATCAAGAAAATTATGGCACAAAGTTCACAGACCATCAAGAAAATAAAGGAAGCTATTGAAACAATATATTATTGAAATAAAGTATTAAGAAGTCTCTCTAAATCACGAAAATCTAGAACTGAAGTTTGCAAGTTTTTTTCCCTGAAAGTTTAATCTTAACTTTCCGAGCATAATTCTACGGTCGTGATTTAGGTTTTCCAAAATTGTTTAGAAAAAAAATATTTTTTCACTAGTTATTATTCCAAATTGCGTCTAGAAATGTTATTGAAAACCATCGGGTTCCACTTTTTGCGATAGTTAAAACTATCTACTTATACAAACCGTCTCTAAAATTTGCTGAAGAAAGGTTAGCACAATTTCTGCCGAGAGGCCGAGACATTGCAATCTTACTTTAGAAAGAAAGTAAATAATTTCTGAGGTTCAAAGTGTCAAACGTTCAATTTGGCTTTAGCTTCTGGTTAAAGTTCTAGATTAAACCTTATCTAGAAATTAAGACGATATGTTTGTTGGCACATAATTTTTTTTTTATCAGAAATCTGTTTCTTCTGTTGTTTGGTCTATAAGAGTATGAGCTGATTTGACTATCCGTTTTTGAGACATCTGGAATTACAAATTAATTTTGTGTATAGTACTACTCTTGGTCTAAGCACATCTTTGCAATGCATAAGCATTGGCTAAGCACAATCGTCTATTGAATTTGGAGTTTTCTTCAATTTATTCTGATCGGGTTATTTTGTGATGGAGTTTCGTTAATCCGATGAAAATGGATAAAAAAATCGGAAATTCAGCAGTGGATAATTGCTGATGATTTAACGCTGAACTCAGAGCCTGTAGTAGTACCAGACAGAAAATAAATTATTTAAATCCAGTTTCATTTAAAACAGGTTGCGTAACTCGCGCCTAACAGAGGATTTCGTTGAATAATAATAAATTTATTCAAAAGTGAAGTATGCCTCAAAACAAGTTATTCGGGTTTAAATGTGTATGAAGTACTAAAAGTAGCGTCACACTTGATATCAAAAATTTAAGTCGAAATTAAGTTTTTTTTTTTTCGTGAAAACTCCCATAGTTTAAAATCATCAAAATACACCAGTATTTAATTAAAAGGAATATTGATCAAAACCTAAATTCAATTTGATCGTTTCCCTATTTATCAATTACTGAGATATGTTGGAATAAATCATCACCTTCAACCTCGGGATACACCCTGTATTTCTCTACCGAAAAGCCTCAGATAACGCAAACCGAACAGAAGAAGATAAGAAGTTACAGCAATTTAAATGTTTGGCTACATTTTCAGCAAATTCATGTTGCAATTAACTTAAGCCATGATAATGCAAAATTGTCCGAAATCTTTTACGACTTGCAGGACTTCACACACGAAGATGTGGCATGGACTGGTATTTTTTACATATTTAAGATACAGAGTGTTTCAAAACACCATTTCGCACTATAGCCGATTGTCTTAATTCAGGTTGAAATTTGCTTTGATGTGCAACCAGCTGCAGGGTGTTGAAGCTTCAGGAAAGTGTTCTTCTTTGTTAGATTATTAGGGGTTGTTAATACAACCATGCAAAATTAGTAAAACACTTTCGAAATATGCACATTAATATTATTCCAACCTGCATCCATCAACCCTTAAACACGGTGTGCACATGGAAAAGATTAGTTCCGCAACACAGACATCTGGCATAATATGCAGATGAACGCGTGCCGGGTTGTTTGACTGAAAACATAGGAAATAAGATTAAGTAAACAATCCTCTTTTGTTTACGCAATAATTCCATTGCTTTGTCCTGGATTTGAATTCGCGGCGGCAAAACTTTTACGGGAAAGCGTCAAGTGGAGCGTCCCGTTTCTGGATGAATTTACACTAAATGATACCGGAAAGTTTCATGACAGTTGGCTTGCGCCCAAGTATGAATTATCCCGTTTAGGAAATTTTGTCTATACACGGTGTACAGCAAATTTAACATTAAGATGTTGTGTAGGAGAGAGTTTTCCATTTTGGTGCAAAAAAACTATATTAAATCCAGTGAATAAACAACAAACATTTTCAAACAACCACTCATCTCTTTGAGGTTTCGATTAAAATGCGCCCGACTGAATTAACAAAGCTGTTTCCTAATATGATTAAAACATGTGAAATTCTGTTCCGTCTACCAGCAGAAGGCTTTCCGATAATCCTGAGAACCGTTGAAACAAACAATTCCCATCTATTCGTCTTATTTCCATTCTGGCTTTCGAGCTTACTGTTCAATTTAATCTTAGATATAGCACTGCTTACCATGCATTTCTTCTTTTCCTTACTGTAGTAGTAGCCCCATTTACAAACGCAACTGAAAGGGATAATCGTAAAGAAAACAAGATCAAAATTACGATCAACAACAGAAATGATGTAAAAAACTATTGTCAAAAAAAATAAAAGTATGGTGTAGGCAAATATTCACGCAAAATTACTTTAAACTAGTCCACACCTGAATCCTCCAGGCGTATTTAAGCACGCTTCTCCTTCGGCATTACAACCGTTTGGTTTCGAGTTCAAACATTCGTCCTCATCAACGCAAATTCCATAAAGCGAATTCCAAATGAAGCCCTTACGGGAGCAGGTGCATGAAACGTTCCATCTATTTAGTATTATATCGCTATAAAAGTTACAAGATCGTAATAGTATAGTATACATCGAATGAATCAACGGGGTTTTATCTGCGACCAATATAATCACCATACGTACTTCTCTATTCTTGAACAATAAAAATAAATCAATTTTTTCATATCGTCGTCTTTTTCAGAATTTAAATAAATCGCATTCACAATTTACCACAAAATACACCACAGCCATTTGAAGACAGGCAATTCAATCAGTCAATATTCCCCAACCCAAATAGCAACCAAAATAATGTAGAACCTCTGGACAGGAGCTCAGATTAGTCAAGTTTCTTTCGAAGAAATACTCCTAGAACCCATTCACACACATTCAAAACATTGACCAACCAATCGATCCAAATTACTCCAGATTACCAATCTGAATTAAAAACTTTTTATCAAATTGATCCAAAGCATTGAACAAACATATGACTCCCAAGAATATTTTCCAAATTCCAACTGGCGTCAACAAGACCAAACAATTATATGTCATAAATAAATAAAATGTTTAATATTCCAACTGCACATAATATGTATTTTTATAATGTAATAAGCAGCTTAAATTACACCTTTGACCATGTTTAATGTAGATGAAAAACACAAATTCTATGTATTCGATTATCGAGATAAATATGAACGTTTAATAGGAGTTGATGGACTAAATCCATTAAATACTAATGCAAATATAAAACTAAACAACTTTCCACGTTCCAGAGCTTCATCACAAAGTTTCAAGTATTCAAAATTTTTTCAAAATTCCAATCAATCTATGAAACGGTTTCGCTATCTGAGATTATCAAAATTTCGGAAAAAAGGACATAGAAATGCAGAAAGCAGTCGAAAATAGTGTATATTTCTGAACCATTTGTTCATTTGGTTCATTCTGAACCAAAGTAGAAATCATAAATCCAATAAATGTAAATTTTATGGAAAAATCGAAACAAAGCATACATTCTCAAAACATTAACAAACATTAATATAAAATTTTAAAGACATAAAGTTTTTTCACTTTAGTTTCATTTCAGTTTCACAAACAAAGTAAGTTACAAAATTAAAACCACTAATGGCAGTCCAATTTTTACCAAACCTTGTAGAATTACATAAAACTGAAGGCCTACTTATTTAATTTCATTGTACGATATTCGAGCACATACGCTTTAAAAGTAATTGAGTTTCGACTCAATTTCATAAAAAAATGTAGGTAAATAAATGATCTACTCAATCACTATCCTAAATTTAATTGTTTAGGTATAATTATTTTTTTCCTCCAAATCTATTTGAAATTCAACATTGCAAATGTGAGCTTGTTTTAAGAATAATGGTCATTATACCCCTACAGGAACAATATATGAAGTTAAAATGTATGTATACCATAAATCAGCTAAATGAATAAAAAGTCGTCATTAAGCATTTATTTTCAGGTCTAGTGTTGTTGGCACTGAACATGTTACGGTAAATTTGTTTAATACTATGATTGCGAATAATAATCGTATAGGAATCACCAAAAACAAAAAATGATAAAACATACAGAAAAGTTAAAAATTCCTTGGCAGCATAGGAATATTTGACTTTGCTCCAAATTTGTTCAAGATTTGTTAGCCTTCAAAGTGAGGCGATTTAAAGTAAATTCGTGCTTCAAGCGACTCACAGATAGTCATATTTCTCAATATAAATTTTTATTTATTAGAATTCGCTATTACAGGTTGCATATAAATTGGGATTTGCAAAGGTCGCAGTGCAAACGGATTTTCAAAGCTGAACAGTTTTTCTCATTCAATGCCACTAAAATTTTTCTACAAAAAAATTCCACTTTTTTTTCAAAACTTTGGGTTTTTCGAAATAAACACACTTATTTTAAATATTTAATACAACTTAGAACAAAAGCATATTAGCGCTGGAATTAATGAGATCAAATACTACGCTTGCCTACGACACCCAGTAAAACCTCGTTATAGATTTTCATTTAATAAAATTCAAAACTAAGGGAAAAACTGCACTAACGGAAGTTATAAAGCTTTGAGCAGTTTAAACAAGATTAATATTTTATGGCATTAATGGCAAGGATTTTCAAACGATTTTCAACAGAGAGTTTTAAATAAAATACGTTCAATCTAGAAATGCCAAACGACCCCGAATAAAACCAGAAGCGCTTTCCTGTACTGAACTAAACTGTAGAACGAAACAGACAAATTTTACAGCAGTGTTAGAATCGGGTAAAATAACTTCGTAGAAACACTTCGAATAAGGCATTATAAATTACACTTTAAACACTGAAGTGACCGAAGGACAGTGAAGCGTAAGCATACAAATTTCACGACTTTCACAGCAAAAATTGGACAAGTTTAAATATAATGTTTTTGACCTTCAATTTTGGAACAGTTTACTTACTAAGTTTGCGGTATTTTTGCAAAATTTGTGGCAATTTTGGCTACTTTCGGCTGGTTTGCTTTAGTTTGTATTAGTTGAAATGTTCAAGAATTTTTCAAATTGGGCTAAACTAGGTGGAAATTACATACAGGATTGGTCAAAGTTATACACATTTTCCTCAGGTCGCTTATAAAAATATTTAATGAAAAAAGTTGATTTTAGACAGTCGCTGGATATTGGCAAATTACCTGAAACCATATGCGGTGCTCAAAAATACGTTTTTCACTTTCATTTGATGACAAATGTAAATCGGTTAAGAAAACAGAACCACCTATAATTCCTAGAGAAGATCTGGAAGTGGAAGAAAATCGAAGCAAAAAATTGCATGATCATAGTCTGGACTGTCGTTAGAAAAGTAATCCACAATGTACAGGTATGTTAATTATTATTACCACCGTCCCAATACGACTTAAAAAAGAATGGGAAAAATAGCAGATTTTGAAAATGATGATTAGTTTTATTATTTTATTAAGTCCCTCAGGTTTACCCAACATATGTGATATAATTCCTCTAAACACTGAATTAATACGACCAGTTAAATGGAAACATAAACCTTAAATTTCTTGTTCGGCACTCAAATTTATTTTAACTTTCAACTAAGTACGCTTCAATTACTAATTTGATTGCACGTTCTATTTAATTAGAATCGGAATGTGCAATTTTAATCAAAATAATATTTTAATAAGTTGAAGTCCATGTCGAAACTGAATTAATGTTTTTGTTTTGTTATTTCGTTCGTGAAGTTTACAACAACTAATAGTCTTGTCCATAATCCTGACCTACACCTGCAGTTTTAATAGTAAATTTCTAATAAACGACTGTAATTAACATTGCGGGATTTATTCGAAGTATTACGAAATTGAAAGCTTTCCGAGTTGCAAAAATGAAAATTGCCTAAAACTCAACAGTAAGTAAGGCTTGTTATGTTCTAATAAAAAAATTGTTTGTTTTTAAACAAATTGCTACTTGAATATTTAATAAAATCCCAAGCAATTTCTACAATATAAAGACTAAATAAATCAATAAAAGCCCCCATAAAAGCTGTCACTTGAACACCTTGTTACCCTAATAGCATTATACCTTCCTGATAATGTTCCAATAATAGACCGTTCCAAAACTCGGATGTTAACTTATAATTTAGGCATCAACTTGACGATAGAGTGATAACCTAATAGCATTTTTAAAGTATGCTTGAGAAAATATAATTATTCGCCTGGAAAAATTCGCTTAACGTCTGGAATAGTAAGCAAATAAAAAGATCGAAAAGAGCTGAACAGAGGCTGAAATATTTTCGGAAACTAAACAATCCTGTGAGAAATTGCATTGCTTTAAATACCTGAACTCTTTATTTTCGCCTTTTCTAAGCAGGCATTCTCTGTAACCGGCTGAATTTTCCTGAAAACATGGATTTTTTGGATCGTTCAGACAAGTTTCCTTTTGGGTGACGTGTTTGTTCGGGCAACACGGGTCAGGGCAAAAGCTGCAAAGATAAAGTAAGTATTCTCAAACAGATAAAGGTTTGGCCTTTGTCAAGGAAAAGCAAAATTGGCATTTTAAACCAAGCGATTTCCTTACAACCGTTTATATTTGTTGGCAGAGGATCACTACTAACCAGTCTAGACGTCTTTTATCGAATATAGAAAAATGTCCACACATTGCCGCAGGTCAAGCGAATTATGGGATTTGTATGTTGATGGATTTGTGTTGATTCCTTAATTGAACATATTTTATAGTATTTTTTATTACCTATAAAGGGCGCAAGCGAATGGTTCTTTATCTACAGCCCGTATATCTCGATTATTCGGGCCAGTGTTGTTATCCAAGCAATAAGCAAAGTTATCACAAAATCCATCAATGTGCTTCAAATCGGGTACTTCGTTCATTACAAACCAGCACATGAAATAACTGGCTGTTGCTCTCCATTGGTACCGTTCTAATGGTCCTAAATGAGTAAGTTAAAAATAAATTGAGGATTGATTGGGAGATTAAAATATTATAGCGTTTTTAATTAAATGAGTTAATAAATGAAGGTAATAGTGTATTTAATTTAAGAATGTTTTTTTTTTAACATATAATGCTTAACTTCTCATAAAGACATGAAAAATCGAGACAGGAAAGATGCAAAACAATTTATTATTCAATTAAAGTATTATTAAAAATGTATGCCTTAAAGCTGAATAAAAATAAAACGTGCCAACAAAAAACTGAACTTAATTTTTGAGAGTACCTACTCTTTAACGTCAATTTTCTTTTTTTTTTAACTAAGTTTTCAAATATTTGTTGATATTTCTCTAAAAACAGGAGTAGCAATTAATGCAAAATTATCACAAGACAGATTCTTTAAAACATTGGAATTCAGAATTTTTATTTTGTCAACCTGCCGATAGACTGTTTGGCAGAAAACCTCCTCCAAAGCAGTTATATGAGCCTCCTTGTATTCAAAACTTTTCTATTTGAAAATATAATAAAATGCGCCTTTGGAAGTATTAGTGCCTCAAAAAATGTATTTGCAAAAGAAGTTTTGAAACAAAATTCCAAAATGTGACCAAAATTACATCAGACACGATGTTAAAGAGTTACTGAGCGTTTAATATAAGCAAACAAACATTAATTTATCAGGGTTTGAGAGTTTCTAATAATCAGTTGTTAAAGTAGATTAGGTATTCTAAGTCATTACCCAAATAATTCCAGAAAATAAGCAAAATCCATTGTTAATGGGGATTTAAATCAATGGTGCAAAAATAAAAATAATTATAAAAAAATTAGGCACTCAATTTAAAAATATAACTAAAAATTATTAATTAAAAATTGTTAATTTTATTTCCGGAGACTCTGTAGATATATCGAGGTACATGATAAATATTCTCTTAAATATTTGCCTTTTATGTGATTTTTCTACATAAACTCGCAGAAAACGATTTAACAGTCAGTTTATCACTTGTTTGGACGATACTTGAACTATTTTTTTAATGTCATTTGAATTAACTTGTTGTACAGAGTTTTGCTTAAAACTATTTTTTTTAATATTGATGAAAAGGACACATTTCAATTTTTACACGAAAATTGCTAATGAAAGCTTGAAAAAGCTAATACCACATATTTTTCCCATGATCAATTGAAAATATAACTTAAATTTACAAGATTACGAATTACTATTTACATATCGAAGATTTTTTCACGATGTTCTTATTCAAGTATTAAAAAACCGCCTTACAAGCGTTTGTTCCTATAAATCGGAGTTCTCACATCAAGACATAGAAAACAAAGATTATATAGAAAGTAAAAGATTATAAAGATAAAAATAGATAAAGAAAAGCAATTGACGTCTTCTGATAAAAGCATCTAAAACTTAAAAAAATTACATCAAAAGTCGAGATGGAAGATGATAAAAATGAAATGTTTCTGTCAGTTTTCCAACTAGAGAGAATTCCAAAATATTCTGGCAACTCAGTTCAGGAAGGTTGCATAATATCAAAAATGTCTTTTACTAAGCTCTTATTAGAGAGAACAAATTAATTTGGCAGATATTTAAAACAGAAGTTTCATTTAGTGAAAAAATCCAAAATGCATGTTTCTGGAGTTATTGTACAAAAACAGTTATAGAACAAAACGGAAATAACACTTTAACTCTCATCTTCAGTGGAAAAAATTAACATTTAGCGCATATTGAACATTAAGCGTATATCTGTATAAGTTGCCGGAATTTTCCAAATGAGACCTAAAACTTCAGGATCCGTGACCCTTGTTTCGGATTTTTAACCCAAAGTTTATCAAATTTTCAAACTTTTTACGAGCAGCCATAACAACGAGAATTAAAGAAAATTGCAGCTTCACTTAAAAGTGGCAGATTATGATTAACGAAATATTAAAAGCAAAATTAATTGGGGCAGCCTAAAGTATCTTCATTTCACCTATTAAGGAACCAACGATTAGCTCAATAAACCTACATATTTCCTGTTGATCATTGAAATAAGTAAAGAATGAAGCTCCAAACTTGAACTTGAATTACCTTCAAATGGTTCGGCAATTTCCTCGTCTAGCTTTCGCATTCTAATACACTCTTCGTCAATTTGAATTAATTTTGTAGAGTTAGCTTCCCAATTATTTTCTTGTGCAACAATCGAAGTGTCATCCTAACAACAATATAATAGGAATAGAAATTTTTGCCTTCACTTTGGGAAAACTTTTGAATATAAATTATTTTCACCCACCTGCCTGCTTAAAGCTACATGCTTTAATTTCTTCCTAAGATAATCGACACAGTGTAAAAATGAAGGTTCACAGTATCTATGCACTTCCCAATGAAGCGATCTCAAAGGAGGTTTCGGAAAATATTGAAAATTTGTCCTGAAACATTGTTATTTTTGCATACCGATAAGTGATCTTAGTCTTACAATAGAGTAAGTTTGAAATGTTCCATTGAACATCTGTAGAAAAGTGTTGTTGCATTAGAATAATGTAATTGGATCGTATTACCTATGCACACACTGAATTGCTATAAAAGTAGAAGAGGATGCCTATTTGAGTCTAAATAAGGTGAGTCATAATGAGATAAACATTCTTCAACTCTAGTTGATATTTTCTAATAATAAATTCCCGTTATAAGAATAGATAAGTATAATAAAATCGTTCATTCCACATACGAGGAGACATTACAAATGTATTTTAAATAACTGCAATTTGCCATACACCACACTGATTAAAGGGTATTATGGTATCAAAAGCGATGGGCAATAAACACTAGGAATTATAGGCGATATTATTCTGCATGGCAGTAATACATAACTGCAGAAATACCGAAACAACAGATGTTAATTTCCTATTGTTGTCATGAGCGCGTGTCTTTAGGGCAATTATTAAATATCCAGCATATTTGATATATAATCGATGTTCCTGATTATGGCCCTGTTTGGCACCCGTTGCGAACCAGGAGGAATATATCAAAGTGAATTTATCGTCATTTCCTTATGTAATCGTATAATATGGGTCTAAATCAGTTTAGATAGAGATTACGTTCAGAGTATGAGCAAAATTGAGAACATGTCGCATATGAAGAAAGAAAATAATGGGAATTACAAAAATAATCTACTGTTTTTGGTCAGGATTTAGAACCTACTGTTGAAGACTCGCATTCCAAGAACTGTGCAATATTCAACTACGATTCCTTAAGCAGCTCAACCACCAGCATCCAAAACAAAATTCAATTAACTTTGCTACCATTTAGTATTAGAAATTGTCTAAGTACTCTTTGCCTGGCAAAATATTTCCAATTAATGCTTCAAAAACCCCAATTGTTTGCTTAAATTTCTATCCATTTTCCGTCATTTTTAATTAAAAATTTTTCGTTGTTATATATGGCTGGCGAATACGAGTGGTGTATGTAGGTAAAACTACTCTAAAATGCACTCAACTTCCTCAATTATAAAACCGTGTTTACATTTGATTACCTCTTTCTGTTCTTGAAACAGAATGGCTCGATGCAATGCGAAAGGAAAATACGTTTTTATTAAAGCATGAAATGGCTTTATAATTCATTTTCAAGCCGGCTCGAAACATTTAGTCAGAATTCAGTTTTAATAGCTTACGTTTGGATAATTGCCGACAGCAACTTAAAAAGGTAGAATTCATAGCAAAATTAAACGTTGTCAACGCTCGATTTCATTTAGCTAATCCGATTAATTTCAAATAGACCATTGGACTGGTCATTCATAATTGTTCTAAAGAGGTAAAATTTCAGCAAATAGCTTATGGAAGAAATGTTTGAAAAACGTTTTTAGCATCATTCACTAAACTACCAGGCTCAGTTTCTTTAATTATAAATTAATAACGAAAATGTACTCTAAAACCAGGGAAACATGTTCAGTGTAAAAACGGCTGAATATTAAGTACTTAAAATTTCCAGAAACACTCTTAAGCGAAATTTATGAATGGCATTAAGTCCGAATTAAAATTTAACTTGTTTGAAACCATTCTTTTTAGTAATGTATTTTCCACATTATAAAAGTGATGGCTTAGGGAGTTTTAGTTATAAGAGTCCCGATTTTTTGCCTTTTGTCCGCATGGTTCTAATTAGGAACAAAGGGACCGCATGAAAATAGCTAATGAAACCGCTGGCTTACTGAAGAAGTATGAAAATTACTGCGCTGTTATTTCGGTATACCTATTTTGTGACATAACTCGCTTTTCTGAATTCAAAATCGAAATTTTTGAACAATGCTTGAACGCTTCTATTCTTAAATATATATATATAAAAGGCCAGAAACAACTGTTAAAAAATATTCCCAAATACCTTGCAACGTTATCACCAAGTCTGTTATATCTTCTATCATATTCGTTAAATTTATGCGCTCTTAAGTAATAAGCAATATCTTTTAAGGCGTCCTTATACCATGGGGGATGTTCACTTTCGAAAACTTCGTTAATATTGTGCGTTTTTTCGGATGAAGCTTCTGAAGACAACTCGGATTCCGTATTTAACCCTTCAAAGTGTGATGCTGTTGCATTTTGCACTAAATTAGTTCCATTGTGCGTGCCAAAATCACTCTGCAATGCAGATGCAGCTGTAAAGGTGTCCGAATTTTTTTCTGAACTTTCATTAATTTGAAATGAAATGGTTACATTCCAAAAGAAAAAGAATGCGTACAACACAGTTAAAATAAAACTGTTACAAGGCATTTGCGTGAAAGTTATTTGTCATTGTCACTCAACTTATTTCTAGTTCATTTCATATAAAAACCGAAGTAAGACTGAAATCACAAAGCTAATAAAAAAATAAGTTATACAAATAAAACCGTCAATGTTACAGTTAAAAAATAGGTACAATTGCAATTTTTGGGATAGCCGAAAAAATGTCCCTGGCAACTTCCACGGAATACGGCAACAACCTGTCCCAGGTTAACACGTTGCAGGAGAAGAACCAGTCGCCGCAAACTGAAGTGGAAAACCACGAGCCGCGCGTTAACACCGTGTACAACAATGGGCAGAAGTTGATCGATGAGGCCCACGAAGACGCGACAGAGT